CACGTGAAAAGCTGCTCAACATCACTTATTATTAGAGAAATGCAAATCAAAACTACAATGAGGTATCACCTCACACCAGGTAGAATGAGCATCATCAGGAAATCTGCAAACAGCAAATGCTGGAGAGGGTGTTGAGAAAAGGGAACCCTCTTGCACTGTTGGTGGGAATGTAAATTGATACAGCCACTATGGAGAACAGTATGGACTTTCCTTAAAGAACTAAAAATAGAATTACCATATGACCCAGCAATCCCACTACTGGGCATATACCCAGAGAAAACCATAATTCAAAAAGACACATGCACCCCAATGTTCATTGCAGCACTATTTACAATAGCCAGGTCATGGAGGCAACCTAAATGCCCATTGACAGACGAATGGTAATGAAGATGTGGTACATATATACAGTGGAATATTACTCAGCCATAGAAAGGAATGAAATTGGGTCATTTGTAGAGACGTGGATGCATCTAGAGACTGTCATACAGAGTGACGTAAGTCAGAAAGAGAAAAGCAAATATCGTATATTAACACATATATGTGGAACCTAGAAAATGGTACAGATGAACCGGTTGGCAGAGCAGAAATTGAGACACAGAAATAGAGAACAAACGTATGGACACCAAGGGGGAAAAGCAGCAGGGGGTTGGGGTTGGGGTGTGATGAATTGGCAGGTTGGGATTGACATGTGTACACTGATGTGTATAAAATGGATGATCAATAAGAAAATAAATAAACATTAAAAAAATTTTTAAGTTTTAGGAATTAGAAAGATAAAAAATATATTAGGAAAAATAAAAATATAATTGAAAGAACTACAACAAGGTATAACAGAACCACAACAGAAAAGAGAAAGAAAAAAAAGAAAAAACAAGAGAGGGGGGAACATCCCCAAAGGAGCAGAACAGTAACAAATTATAAATAATAAAGTAAAATTAGAAAAATGAAAGATTTATTAGAAAAAAGTATAATATAGATGAATCAGCAACAATGGGTTAAAACAGAACCACAACCTAAAAGAAGAAAGCAAAAAAAATGCCAGAAAAGGCCTTGGCTGTGGGGGGCAGAGCTTAGGCGAGGTGGGGTTTAGGGTGGGCGTGGGGACTAGGCTCAAGACCCATGGAGCTGGAAAAGGCCTTGGGGGCGGGGCCTAGGCGGGGCGACATTCAAGAGTGGGGTGGGACCTAGGCTTAGGACCTGGTGACAGGGGAAAGGCAGTTCTGAGGGGGGCCTTGGAGAGTGGAGCTCCAGAGTTTGGAGGTAAGCTGTGAGTGAGCGTTTGTGGGTGAGGTTTAGGCCCAGTGTGGTTGGAGCGGGTCTCAGAGGTGGTCTCTGAGTGTCGCTTGTAGAAGTAGGGCTCTGAGTGGGGGTGTAGGGGCAGGGCTTAGGGTCTGCAATGCTGGAGGGAGCCTCTGAAGGCACAGTATTAAGCCCAGGAGACCAAGAGGCTCCCTGGTGCCCAAGTCAGCAGGGAAAGTGTTGGCCATGCTCCCTTCCGTTCCTCCACTCTCCCAAGCATCTCCCCTTGCTGCTGAAGCGTGGATGGGTCCCACCATGTGTGGGAACTTCTACTCTCCACACACCGCCCCCCAGGGGTGCCAGTCCTGTCCATCTGGCCTTTACTTTTGCTCCCCCTTCCCTCCCTCCCACTCCCTCAGAACCCATGCTGTTGGAGGGGACCTTGGTTGGCAGAGGATCAGGCCCGGGATCTCAGCAGGCTCCCCAGGGCCCAACTGCACAGGGGAAACGTTGGCTACACTCCCTTCTGATCCTCTGACCTTCCAATGGTGCCCCCCTTTCCCCCTCTGGGCGTGTGATCCCTTCCTCTCCCCCAGCCGCCCCTCAGGGGCACTGGTCCTGTCCCCCCTCCACTTCTCCTCCCCCGTCACTCCCCACCCCACAACCTACCTGGTCGCTGGGGATTCCTCCCATCCCCTTAGGTGTCTGTGGTCCCCCACCAGTGCCTGGTAGGTGCCCTAGTTGTGCAGAGACGCGAATTCCACGTCCTCCTAGTCCACAATCTTTGGTAGTTTATTTCTTTTAGCACTTTGAATATATTAGCTCATTCTCTCCTGGGCTGTAATGTCTCTGCTGAGACATCCACTGATAGCCTTATGGGGGTTCCTTTGTATGAGAGATATTTTTTTCTCTTGCTTCTTTTTTTTTGGCCATGATGTGCAGCATGCGAGGTCTTAGTTCCCTGACCAGGGATCAAATCCGTGCCCCCTGGAGTGGAAGTCTTAACCGCTGGACTGCCAGGGAAGCCCTCTCTTGCTTCTTTTAAAATTATCTCTTTGCCTTTGTTTTTAGACACTTAAAAAAAACGTAATTAATTAATTAATTTTTGGCTGTGTTGGGTCTTCATTGCTGTGCGCAGGCTTTCTCTAGTTGCAGCGAGTGGGGGCTACTCTTCATTGTGGTGTATGGGCTTCTCATTGCAGTGGCTTCTCCTTGCAGAGCAGGGTTCTAGGAACGTGGGCTTCATTAGTTGTGGCACATGGGCTCAGTAGTTGTGGCTCACAGGCTTTAGAGGGCAGGCTCAGTAGTTGCGGCACATGGGCTTAGTTGCTCTGCAGCATGTGGGATCTTCCCAGACCAGGGCTCACACCCGTGTCCCCTGCATTGGCAGGTGGATTCTTAACCACTGCACCATCAGGGAAGTCCTAGACACTTTTATTACTATGTGTCTTAGAGAAAAACGTTTTGGATTGAGAGTTTGAGGCAACATATTTGCTTCATGAACTTTGATGGCCTAATCTCTCCCCATATTTCAGAATTTCTCAGCCATTATTTATTGAAATAAGCTTTCTATTCCTTTCTCCCCTAGTACACGTTATTTCTTTTGATGGTGTCCCATAACTTCTGTAGGCTTTCTACACTCCTTTTCATTCTTTTTTCTTTTTGCTCTTCTGTTTGTAAAATTTCAATCAATCTGTCCTCTGGATCACCAATTCGCTCTTCTGCTTGTTCAAGTCTGCTCTTGAAGCTTTCTATTCAATTCTTTATTTCAGTCATTGTATTCTACAGCTCCAGATTTTCTGTTTGGTTCTTTTTTTATGTTTTCTATCTCTTTTTTGAGGTTCTCATTTTGTTCTTGTATTGTTTTCCTGATAGCATTAAATTTTTCATCTGTGTTCTCTTGTAGCTCTCTGAGTATTCATAGAAGAATTCTTTTGAATTCTTTGTCAGGCAATTCCTGGATTTCCATTTCTTTGCAGTCAGATACTGGAATTTTACTGTATTCTTTTGATGGAGACATGTTTCCCCTGATTCTCCATGATCCCTGTAGTGTTGTATAGGTATCTGCACATTTGAAGAAGCAGTCACGTCCTCCAGACTTTACCGACTGATTTTGTTAAGGGAAGCCTTCTACCTGCTGATAGGGACCCATACTGGTTATTCTATGACCCTGATCTAGTGATGCAGAGTGCCATGTGGAAAGGTGCATGGTGGCACTGGGTCCAATGGTATATGACGTCTCTTTGGCTCCAGGACATTGGGGTCCACAGTATTGACAACTGTGTGGTCCTTGGCAAGCACTGCAGGAATTCTGTGGCTTCAAGATCTTTTGGGCTCCTAAGTGGCACCTCCAAGACTGGTAGCAGGGCAGGCAGTGGTGGTGGATGGAGCCAGTGGTGTGCACATACTCGGCTGCAGGGGCCAGCTGCAGGTGCCTATGTAGTGCCAGAGGGGGCCAAAGCAGGTAGCAAGGGCTGGGGCCAATTATAGGCTCACTGGCATTTGCCAGTACCATACTGTTTTGATTACTATAGCTTTATATTATAGCTTAAAATCAGGAAATGTGATGCCCCCTGCTTTGTTCTTCTTTCTCAGCACTTATTTGGACATTCAGGGACTTTTTTATTTCCATATAAGTTTTATCCTCCTTTCTCATCTCCCTAAGACAACAGTATGATGATTGGGACAGGCTTGAATCCCAATGAGAAAAATCTATCAGATCCTTAGAGGGGTAAGGTCCTTGCTTGAATATCTTCACTTCCATTCAGCCTTCCACCCTAGTGATAATCCCATTTGTTTGGGCATTATCTCTATCAATTGACTGTACTCCTTATGTAACCCACAATTTCCTAAGTCTTCTCTAAATCTTATGCTAGGGACATAAGCTCCTGGATTGTCCCTAACTCAACTCTCCACATTTTTTGCAGTTGACAGTGAGTGTTCACCTGATAGACCCTTCACTTGGCTGTAATATGCCCTCCACATATATCTTGGTTTGTAAAGCTTTCTAGACATCACTACTGCATGGAACTGACTAGGGAATTAACCAAGGTCATTCTTATTGGCCATGTGACCTTGAACAAGTTACTTAGCCTTTCTGAACTTCTGAGGTGGACATAATAATTGTACCTAATTCATATAGTTGTTACAGGATTAAATGAGTTAACGTAAAGCACTTGGTGCCTGACTTGTTTTAGGTGCTTAGAGGTAGTGTGATTATGCTGTTGCTACTACTGCTGACTACTTCAGCTTTAAAACTTGCACTTGCTTGTTTCTTCATTGACATCAAGCCTTTGCCTACAGAGCCCTTTCTCTTTGTCCCATCACCTTTCTTTCTCAGGAGCCCCAATCCTTTGGCTGCCTGAATGTATGTTGAAGAATGGAAAATTCCTGTGGTTTTGTTGAGCTGTGCCTTCCATATTGGGGGTGGGGGCCTGAAGGGATAGGGGTGCCAACCTGTTCATAACCAAAAGGCCAATAAAAGTGTCTTCCCAAATGAAGTATTGAACTTCATTAAATCTAAGACATCATCAACTGTGAGCCACACCCTTATTTTATGTAATACTAAGAAAGAAATAAGCAACCTTTAGAATTTTAATTTTATACTTATTTAAAAGTTATTTTGATGCAGGTCTGTGAAGGGGCATAAGAGGCTTCCTGGTCCCTAGAGAGACCCCTCCACCAGGAGGACGTACGCAGTTCATGGACCTTTCCAGACATAGATGCAGCCTCTGGGGGGAGCTGGTCCTTGTGACAGGTGACTGCTGATCAGGGGGTCTCAATTAAGTGACACAGGGAGCTACACTGTGTGGGTAGAAGCCCGCAAAGGGACCCAGAGAGCAACTGGCTGGCCTGAGATTCGAGAGTTGGAAGTCCCAGGCATCTCAGTCAACATTAGCTCCGTGGGCAGAAAACATGGATTCCGTGGCTGCTGTCTGCCATACCAGTGCCACCAACGTCAAGTGGTATGTGAGTTACACACAGGTGTCCAGCTATGACCACATGACAGTCTCCCCAGACAACAAGACACTCATCATCCAAAGGATCAGTAGCTGCAACTCACCACTTCAGTGTGGGATAGAAATCCTCCCACAGATTATTGAGAGAAGTGAAGTAATCTTTCCGACATTGACCTATGGTCCCCCCAGTGTGCTGATCAGGAGTAAGCGCCGTAACTTCAATGGCATCCTGCCTGCTGAGATGGGCTCCCAGGTGGAGATGGAGTGTATCTCCTATTCCAGACCAGAATTCAAGTACCAGTGGATCCGCAACGGCTTCCTCCTGAACTTCTCAGAGAAAAAATTACCTTCCTGAATCTGATCTGGGACCACATGGGCAGATACAGATATCAGGAAGTCCAGCTCCAGGTGCCCTGGCACAGGACTGCTTTTAGCAAAGGTTTCACTATCTCAGGATCCTTGCTGGTATTTCTCATCATGGTGACAGCAGTGGGCGGTGTCCTCTTCTGTGCATTCCTCATTCATACCCTGATCAGACATTACTCTACCAGGGCAAATTGGGCTACATGACCACCCACCTCAGACATAGAAGACAAGACCAGATGGGCAAGGAGGGTTCCAACTCCCCCACTTCCTTATCCGACACCATGGGACCATCAGGTATGCCCCATCTCAACATTGCCAGGGACAGAGAAACGGAACAACCTATACATGCCCAATAACCGGGAATTGCTTAAATGGGATGCAGCACATGTTGAGTGAATCTGTCATTGTTAGAAACCACGCTGGGGAAAGCCATTTACTGATGCAGAGAATGTTCACAACTTGTTGCCAGGTTAGAAATGCATAATGCAAACCTGCATCTGATAGTATCATATTGTGAAAAGTATAGATTAGTTAATTGATATAGATGTAATATTACAGTGTGTATGTATGTATGTGTTTTCCAGTTTTATGTGTACACACACACACACATATATATATGTATATATACACACATATATATGCACCTGTGCAAAAATTGTGGAAAATATTACCTATCAACAGTGTTATCTCAATTTCCTTCTTTGCACTTTACTGTATATTCTGAAGCGTTTTTTTTTTCTTCACAAAGTATATAAATTGTTCTTATTATTAGAAAACAAACCCCAATAAAGGTAAAACAGCATGAAGTTAAAAAAGTTATTTTGACAGAGATGAGGATGGTGGTCACCAGGGGCTGGGGGTGGGGGCACTGAGAAGATGCTGTTTAAGGGTACCAACTTACAACTAGTGGATAAATAAGATCTGGAAATCTGATGCACAACATAGGGATTATAGTCGACAATACTGTATTACAACCTTCAAAATTGCTAAGAGACTAAATCTTAACTATTCTCACTATAAAAAAAGAAATTATAAATATGTGCCATGATAAAGGTGTTAGCTAGCACTACTGTAGCAACCCTATGGCAATATGTAAATGAATCAAACCAACACATTGTACAACTTAAGCTGTACAATGTTATACGTCAGTTATAGCTCCATAAAAAAGGAAAAATATATTTTGAACAACTTTTTGAAAAAGTTATTTTGGACTTATTTAGACATAGAAACGATGATAATGTGAATGGCTATGGCTGAATTCACTCACGTAAATTGATAGCCACACCATAAACTGCTGCCTGGGTGATGGTCAGACACTATTGGTTATAAGATGCACATGAACTTCAGAGATGCTGAAATGTGAAAAATGAGAAAGTACATCTTAGAGTTAATGAAAGGTATTCTGTTTCCCTTCAACCAATCTTCTAGAATGTAGAAACTTCATTTTCTTTGTATAGTCACATATCTTTGATACATGAATTTTTGTAAAATAATTTCCCTCTATTCAAGACTTCAGGTCTTCCTAGCTTTAAATCTTCCTAGCTTTAAGAGAAAATACCTTGGCTGAGGCAAGTGTTTGTTGTTGATTATCATCTCTGAGGCAAGTGTTTGTTGTTGATTATCATCTCAGACAATAGTAGAGGCTCTGTGATTGAGCTACTAATTTTGTCTTTTTCATTTTATTAGATGGAAAGCAGGCTGAAAGTTATATCCCTCCTACAGAGATATATGCTGTTTGATACTTAGCCGCAATTTCGTAACACTTTAAATTTCATCTCAGTGTTGTATAAAGAACAACATTTTGGAGTCAAACAGACTTAGATTTATATTCTGCTACTTACTAGTCATGTGACTAGGTACATTACTTCACCTTCCTAGGCCTCAGTTGCCTTATCTGTAATCTCATCATAGATTAAATAAATAATATATATAAAGTGTAAAATGTTTGCCTATAATAGCTGTCCAGTAAACCGCTGTTTTGATGGGAATGATGTTCTACTGGAGAACTAAGAATATGTTCTCTGGAAAGGTGGATGTCAGACTTGGCAGCAGTGTTGCCAGAACCTTGCCTGGAGTCAATCTGGCCTGGAAGCACTGTTTTCTTATAGGTCATTCCTCGAGAAATGGTGAGGTGACTACTTTTAGGGAAAGACAGTTAGTACTAATAAATGCCTTATTGTTCAATGGCAACATTATATTAATCTGGGAGCAAAAGGAAATGTTGCGAATGCAAAAAGAATGGTTTTGATCATTTGAGAAGGATTTTGAAACAGGAATTCTTTACTAAAGGTTAGGAATGGATAAAATTATTCATTAACTCATAAAATATGTATTGAGTACCTTCTCAATGCTAGGTGCTCTGCTAGGTCCTGGGAACACAGTGCCTATGTGTTTGTTCTAGTAAAGAATGCAGAAAAGGGCCTGTCCTTGTGGAGCTTACACTGAGGGGAGGATTTAGGGATATGCAATAAAAAGTAAACAATTTTTAAGACAAGATAATTCCATAATGCTACTTAAGGTTTGGTGGTAAGGGAAGGCTTCTCTGAGATGGTGCCATTTTAGCTGAAACCTGAATGACAAGGAGTGATTTTTCTTATCCTTTGTGTTCATTAAGCTTCTCATATATGTGGATTTACAGTTTTCATCAAATTTGGAAACTTTTTGTCCATTATTTCTTTCCCTCTCCTTTGGAGACTGATTATACACATATTAGGCCTCCTGAAGTCCCATATCTCACTATTGCTCTCATCTTTTCTTTCTTTCTTTGCTTTTTTAGAGTCTCTCTCTCTCTTTTTTTTTTTTTTGGTATTTCTTTTTGGATAGTTTCCATTGCTTTGTCTTCAAGTTCACTAATCTTTTCTTCTGCAACATTTAACCTGCCTTTAATTCCATCCAGTGTATCTATCATCTCAGATGTTGTAGTTTTTATTTCTAGAATTTCATTTTAAGACTTTTTAATATCTTCCATGTCTCTACTTAATACATTCTGCTTTTTCTCTAGGTTTCTGGAAACTGGAGCAATCATGGGGTTCACCTTGTTTGCTCCCCATCTCTCATGCATCACTGTCCTTTATTGCCTGATGGCTAATGTCTTGAGAACTGTTCTTTCATATGCTTTGTCCTGATTTTTAGTTGTTTCAGATAGTAGGGTAGGGACTTCCCTGGTGGTCCAGTAGGTGGGATTTCGTACTCCCATTACAGGGGGCCCGGGTTCGATCCCTGGTTGGGGAACTAGATCCTGCATGCATACCACAACTAAGAAGTCCACATGCCACAACTAAGAGTCTGCATGCCACAACTAAGAAGTCTGCATGCCTCAACTAAAGGATACCGCATGCCGCAACTAAAATTAAAAAAAAAAACTGATAGTAGGGTAAATCCAGTCCTTACTCCATCTTGGCTGAAAGTAGGAGTGTTCTGCCTCTATTATTTACCTCATAATTATTCTCAGGTTTTAAAATGTACAAAAAGGCCACATATTGGTTTTAACCAGTTGCTATCAATAGAAAACACTTTAGAGTCTGATTATACATGTTTTCCTGATGTGTGATAAAGCACATGCCATCTATTTGGTCTCTGAACTAATCTTTGTTCAGAATCTATTAACAACATAACCATCAAAAAGCTCTAATATTTTTCTTCTTTTTTTTAATGAAAAAATTCCATCTGTTTTAACCAGTAAGAGAAATCTGCTTCAGAGCCTTTTGGTATTTATTATGCTATTATGGTATCACATTCCTGGGCTGAGCTGCTTGCCAGATGTAGTTATCAAACATTTTTGTGGCACTATACATGGCCCAAGGACTTTAGACGTCTTATTTTAGTTTTATGTGGGTTGAGGTGGATTTATGTTTTTTTAAAATTGTGGTTAAAGTCTATATAACAAAATTTACCATTTTAACCATTTTTAAGTGTATAATTTGTGAATGTCATAAAGTACATTCACAATGATGTATAACAATCACCACTATCTATTTCTGAAACTCTTTCATCATCCCAAAGAGACTCTGTATGCATCAAACAATAACTCCCCATCCTCTCCTCCCCCCACCTCCTGGTGATCTTTATTCTACTTTCTGTCTTTATGAATTTGCCTAGTATAGGTACCTCATATAAGTGGAATCATACATTTGTCCTTTAGTATCTGGCTTATTTCACTTAGAATAATACTTAAGGTTCATATTGTAGCATGAATGAGAATTTTATTTCTTCTTAAGGCTGCATAATATTCCCTTGTATATATATAACACATTTTGTTTATTCATCTATTGATGGACACTTGGGTTGTTTCTACCTTTTGGCTATTGTGAATAATGCTGCTGGGAACATTAGTATACAAGTATCTACTTTCAGTTCTTTTGGGTATGTGCCTAGGAGTGGAATTGCTGGATCATATGGTAATTTTATGTTTAATTTTTGAGAAATCACCAAACTGTTTTACATAATGACTGCACCATTTTACATTCCCACCAGCAATGCACAAAGGTGCCAATTTCTCCACACCCTTACCAACGCTTGTTTTTCTTCCTCTCTTCCTTCCTCCATTTTTTTAAAAAATAGTACCCATTCTAATGGGTGTGAAGTGTTATCTCATTGTGGTTTTGATTTTTATTTCCCTAATGACTAGTGATGTTGAACACTTTTTCATGTGCTTACTGGCTATTGTATATTTATTCACATCCTTTGCCCATTTTTGAATTGGGTTGTTTGGTTTTTGCAGGAGAGCTGTAAGCCCAAATCTATATGTTCTTCAAAGATCTGGGAGTTTAGATACTCATTTGGTATTTTATATCTAACATATCTAGAAAATGCTCCACAGAAAATTTTTCCATGTTTCTATAACAGTGGTGTGACATATGTGGCAGATCTTTCTTTGTAATAGATGAAGCAGACAGTGATTCCAAGTTGCTTCCCATGTATCTGGGCTGTTTTCAGTGTTCTCCTTTTGTTTCTACATGGCAAACTTCCAGAAAAGAATGGTTGACTAGACTAATGGAAGTGATTGTGTGTGAGACTCCCAAGGCTCCAGTTATAGACCTGTTAAACTTCACTTTTCTTTGGGTTGGAAAATTTTATCTCAGTGAAATACAAAACATAAACAAAACAAACAAAAACACCTTTACTCTTTGGTTGCTAATTAGACTTGCAGTTGAGAAATTCACTTTCTAAATTTCACACGTCATTATTGAGAGAATCTGCTTCTG